ATGCCAGAATTATCAGGAATCGAAACAACGATAGAGATACACAAGAAGGGTTCTAACGTATTGGAACAAAATCGTAACATACCAATCATAGCTTATACCACAAATCCTTGCGAGGAACGATTTTTTGAAGCTGGAATGAACGGATGGGTTGGAAAACCAGCAAAGCATTGGATGGTTCGAAAAGAATTGGAGAGGGTATATAGCATAACAAATTCATCACGACCGTCCTCAAACAAAAATTAATTTTCCAAAAAGAGATGGGAGTGCATTTTGACTTTTTAAATATCATTTGATCATTATGCCTGTCGCGCTCTTTTTTTCTTACCCCTCCTTTTTTTTTTTATTTTATTTTTTTTTTTTGAAAAAATAAAAAAAAAAAACTATTTTAATTCTTTAATATTTTCTTCGGGTTTGGGGATTTTTTAACGAAAAAACAAAAAAAAACGAATTCAAAAAAAAACAAAAAAACAAAAAAAAAAAACAATTAATCAACGGACGAGTTCGGACATCTGTAATCTTTCGCTTTGAATTTTTTTCTTTTTATTCTTTGTAAATACGATATAGATTTTTTTTTTCTTTTTTTTTTTCTTTTCACAATTATTGCGGAATGCTTATTTTTTTCTTTTGGAACAAGTTCCAAACATCCAATTCAAACATAATCAATCATATTTAATGCTTTAAACACGAACACACATAATCTCAACACTTTTTTTTTTTATGTATATATATGGAACATTACTTATCCTATATGTAATTATAATAATCCTTTTTTTTTTTTTGTAAGTAGTATTATGCCAACCAACAAATTTTTTTATGTATTGTATCTCATTCATACCAAAGTACAGTAGTAGTAGTAGTTACCCCTTTAATAATTCTTTAATAGAATTGTTTTAAAATGTTAATAACGATAACAAGAAACAAAATAATTAAAATAAAACTTAATAAAAACTGAAGAAAGATTTTAATCATATCTGATTTTAGTGCATCTCTTTTTTTTTGTGTTGCTTAAACATTCCATGCTATCGCTGTTTCACAATCTCTCTATTAGATGAATTTAGTTATATGAAGGGATCACTTAGGGTTTTACAAGGTCAGTCGGTTCAGTCATGATTTGCCTAATTTAATAAAAATTCTTGGCGAATTAAAGTGGATGCGTTTCAGAGTCGTGAAAAATTAAATGAGAATCAAAGCATGCCATCCTTAAATTGATTACATTCAAATAAACAAGCCCAAGTTTTTAAATAATAAAAAGGAAATTCAAAAAAGCTGAAATCATTTTTGATCCTACTTTGGAAGAACTAAGCTTTAAATAGAGATGGTCTATCACAAACACGTCTTTTATTTACTTTGAAAGAAATTCTTTTTTTTTGGTATTTACTTTATATTTTTTTCAAATACTTTATATTTTCAAATGAAAAGGAAAAAACATAAATAAGTTTCGTACTCTTTACGAAAATACGAAAAAAGGATGGATGCATCATCGGGAACAAAGGAAGAGAGATTCCCCATAAAAATTTCCCGCAATAAAAATCGTTTTTTTTTTGATTATCAATCTAATAAGCTTTTAGCATGGTTCCTTTTTTTTTTTTCTGTTGATTATGAAAATGGAATGATTTTGAAATCGGAATTATGTGAACATGGGCAAGCCATGTAAAGATCGCAAAAAGAACCCAACCTGTAAAGGTATAATATAATAAATAATAAATATTGTTATTTGTGGAATCATTACAAAATAATTTTTTTTCGAATTCGGTTAGACGCAATTTTAATTTTATTATTATTATTATTATTATTATTATTATTATTGTTATTATTGATTATTTTTTTTTTTTTGTTCGCGTTCCTCTCGATCCTATGAGATTTTGTCTCCTATGAGAAATTTAACAAAGGCTTTTTTTTTCTTTTTATGGTTATTTGAGTTTATCCCAATTAAGAAAAGTAACGTTATGAATTAATTTCAACAGGAAAGAAAACATCGTATGAGGTATCATCCCATGTGTAACCAATAATTTATCACATAATAAATCGGTGATAAATCATCCAAATTAGGTGAAAGAAACAAAAAAAAAAAAAAAAGAGATATGTTTATACAAAATTAATTAATGAATAAATTTTTTCATTTCAAAATGAATGAGAAAAATATCGTACAGCATCTTATTAAATATTTGTACATTCATTCAACGCTTTTCTGTCGGTAAATATCCCTAGAATTTTATTTTATTTTTTTTCTCCTGAAGATTTCAAAAATATGAAATGTTAATATAATGGCAACTTTTTTATTTTATTTTATTTTATTTTGCGTTCTGTTTTATTAGGTGCATCATTGAGTTATTATTGCATTGTTGTTTCTCTTTTTGAAAGGGATCGTCACCCTTTATGATTGTTCATTATTGTGAATGGAATTTTTTTAATGCAGAAAGGCCACGCGAATTATCATTCGGATACAATCATCGTAATGATCATATTGAACGGTAATACCAATTGACAACGCGAACGTTGCGCAGTGATGAGACCTAGAATCGAGCCGTATGGGAGACAATGCATAAATAATATACATCAAAAGGATATAATTAATGTGATATAAACAGAAAAAAGATTTATTGTTGTTTAATTGTTGTTGTTGTTGTTTTTGTTGTTTGAATGTTGTTATTGCCGTCGTTGTGTGGGTCGAAATTCGGAAGGGAAACAATTGTCGTTTCAATGCCATATTGTCCTTTTTTTTACGTTAAAAATCTGTTACATGTTTACTGATTCTGACAAATAAAATAAAGAAAAAAAGTGTTCTTTTAAAATTTGATGATCGAGTAGGCAATTACCATGTTTACCCTTTTTTTTTTTTGATTCTGAAGTAATCCGATAATTAAGTAATTACATGTTTACTTATTTATTTATTTATTTATTTATTTTTTTGATTCTAAAAAATATAGAATAAAAATAAAAATAAAAGATGTTCTGTAAAATCCGATAATTGAGCAATTAATCAATCACTTTACGAACTTTGCTTTTTTTTTTTTAAACAAAAAAAGGGGGGCGAGCTTCGAAACAAAAAAAAAAAGATGCCCAAATTTTAAAAAAAATAAATAAATAAATAAATCAAATTAAAAATAAAATAAAATAAAATAAAATATATATTTT